ATATACATAATTATCTGTCCAGTTTACAGCCTCCGGACTAACGTACTGCATGTCGACAGCAGGACAGAAGAAGCACGTGGCAATCAGTTGAAAGCAGAGCAACTGGGCTAAACAGCGTGAGCGAAAGAAGCCTTCATATACCGGTCTGACTGGGCAAGAATACTTAAGATGTTCACACAAGTATTTGGGTAGCAATAAAAACTGAACTCGATGTAAGCAGAGCGGAAAACTATGTATTTATAGTGTCTTAAGCACACGTTATAATCAGGGTTTGAAACAGTACACCAAGTCCTATTCGCCAAAGAGAAAATTCGCATGACATAACAGGACATCCTTCACAGATGTTACACATTTTAGAAGTAGGCAAAGTTCAGGAGGTTCCGTCGCAATGGCGTATCTATTACAGTAACGTACAGGCCCACACAATTTAACGAAAAACATAAACGTAAAAATGACTACATACTTTCAGAGCGTGTCCTCGTTTATTTTATTTCATATGTTCACACTTCAACGGAAATATGTAGTTAAGGAATCACTTCCAGTCATTAAAGTAACCTTCTTATTTGTTTACGACACTTTCCCGAAGTATTTTTTCGCGGAACAATTTGGCCCCAAAAGGAATGGGAGATGATTTGGGCGGGATATAAGCAAAACAATCGGAATAAATGAGAAATTCATATAAAAATTTAATATAAAAACCTCAAGGAAAGATAACATACCAATTGTGACACCCAAAGCACAAAGCTTTGGTCGGGACACCTGAAAGGGCGAAAACACTTAAAATGCCTAAAAGTATATAGGAGGATATTATTAAAATATATTTTAAATAAATAAACCACGAGGGCGTGAACTGGTTTCTTCCTGCCCAAAGTAGGTACGAATGACTAATAGTAAATATGGCAATGAAAGGCGGGAAATTTCTTCCCCAGTCGAGCGATCTTCTCAAGAAGGACGCTGCTCCATGGAGTTGATTAATTATTTTCATAACTCTTAAGTTGGTTTTCTTTCAGCTTTGAAAGTAACATTTATGCAGCCATAGAACAGAGAATAAAACCACTGTCATTACTATGTTACAGAATAACGCGATGCAGTACGTAATCATCGGCCTGATATGCGCGTTGGCATCAGCAGCTGAAGACGAAGGCGCGCAAACGGCAACAACATCGGCGAAGATTCCAAAAGTGCAGATCACACGGACGGCACTCCACGTGGCAAGAAGTCTGGATCCCGACTCAACGGAAACTGTAAATGTGCGCACTCGAACCGGAGACATCGCCACGCTAATTGTGAGGAAACGCGGCGGCAAGTCCAATCTTGCTTTGCCGCCTCCAGTGTCCATTACATCGTCTGCGATCAACGTCCTCGAAGAAGCAAATCGGGAAGGAAAATCAAAGAATGTTGCGTCATCAAACGTCCCGTCTCCAGTTACATTTAGATCTACGGGGTTCTTAATTGAAGATGAAGATCATCAACGGAGTGGCAAATTCACAGAAGACGTAATTGATATCATTGCACCACCTAAGGACTTACGTCCATCGACATCACTGGAAGAACCTGTTAAGGACCACAACGAAGGAAACAACCGAGAGAAGAAGACAATTAATGTTCCACCTCCAGTTTATGTAAGATCGTCGCCGATAAATATTAAAGGAGAACAACAGAGAGCGGAAGACTACTGGAAGCGAGGAAGGAGTGTCATGCATGTTGACTCCGACGGTATTCCGGTAATCCACGGAGTTCGGATGCCTGACGATGAATCCGATCGGCAGACATGGAGAAATGCTAGAGTTATTAACGGTATCTTGGTCCCTTATGACAAATCAGGTAACAAAGTTGATTCAGGAGATAAACAAGAAATTACAAGAAAAGCCACAGTGCACTTTGAACATCCATCATCAAATAAGAAAATAACGGAAGGCTCAAGTCCAACGCAACCACTGCTATACCTTGAACACGCCGCAAAGAAAAAGAACCAATACAATTATCCGTATGCCAGCGATACCCACTCGCGAATCCTGGAATATATCAATACTGTAAATCAACGTGAGGCCGGCCGGCTCAGAAATGTTTCACCTAGAGCTCGCATGATTAGTTTCCCTGTGTCCAGATCGGATCTAATTCAGGATAACGAAAGTGGACGAAGTACTAGTGACTCTGAGTCACAGGCCAGAGCGTTACATTACCCTGGCTCTCCCATCTATCCAACATCGCTCCTATACACACCTCCTACTTCCAAGATATCCAGAGTGTCATTCGAGGAAGGAGTTCGTACTCCGGTACTTCAATACGCTCATCCAGAACTTGGTGTCCAGCCTGCAAAAGTAATGCGCAAAAACGACGAAGTCGAAGAAGTGGACGAGTCGAAACAGAACAGCGAGAAGAGTGACGGAGAGAAAGCTAATCCGTTGACGCTCGCTTACTTTGCGCAGGACATACACAGCGACAGAAGCCCATACGCCTACGAGCCGGGAATGCAAAGAAACGAAGAACAGGCCGAGGTTACCACTGCGGACCCCAGTGTGTATAAGAGATCTAGCAGTGATAAAGAAAAATTCTCCTCTGAAAGCAGCTCTACACCGTGGCCTAAAAGCTCTCTTGCTTATTTCCACGAACAACAAACATCCGACGATTCATACGGCCTAGCAAATGACAAGTACATCAAACGTTATCCTTACACCACATACAACACTGTGTATTCTGACCAGAGTAAAGAAAGTCAGAACAGGCACAAAGGCCCAATTGCAGGCTCAGGATATTCGAGATATCCGTTCGGAAGTGGTCATTACACAATCCATGCTCACATGACCCAAGAGAGGCCGTTTTGGGAACGCATCGGAGATACGATTAGGGAACATGTCCAGACAAGCATGGAAAAGGTTAACGATATTACACGTCCAGTTGTCGAACCACTCGTGGAAGCCACACACAAAATTTCTTACAACCTTGGTTTTGCAGGCGAAAGTAACCGAAACGTAATACAAGACAAGGTTGGCAGTGCTGTTGCTGCGTACCCTGTATTGCTTCCGGCTCTGGGGCTTGTAGCTGGAGGAGCAGCTCTCGGACTAGGTGCAGTAGCCGTTGGCAGATTCCTTGATGTCGACGTAATGAAGCGTCGAATTGGTATCCCGGAAGACGATTCTCAGGAATTGGAGGCGGAACATAAAAGAGCCCTCGAGAGTATCATGAAGAATCTGAGTGACAGGGAGTCGACACGCGAAGGAGGAACTTGGGTCGTTGCTGAGGAGTTTAAAAACCCAGATGAACAAAGGAAGGTTCTTGAAAATGCCGCCAGAGTTCTGAACGACGGACCAAAAAGTAGAGGCCAGGAAGATTCAGAAAGAAATTTGAGAGATAAACAAATACAATGGACGGTTACTGGTGATTCTACAAAACAAGACGACTTTAAAATAGTCGATGCCATTAGAAGTTTAAAGAAATCAAGAGATTTAGCAGGAGAAGGAACTTGGGTGTTGGTTAGAAACATGAAC